GCCCCGCGGGGAGCAGCGCGGGAGGGGAGCCGCGGAGGCGGCTCCGTCCCCCCGCAGCCGCGGTCCCGCGTGGGGGTTCCCCCCTTCCTCGCTGCACCCTGCGGCCACGGAGGAGCCGGGACCTGCTCACACAGCCCCCGGCGCCCCCGCCTGCTGCGAGGTCCCGCCCCAGAGCCCCCCAACAGACTTCACACGTTTCCAAGCGGCGTTTTAAAATTCACTTTATGCTTGTGATTATTTTAAATAAAAGACAACTTGGGGCTACCTACCTACCGCTACTCTGCTAGGCGCGGCGGACAACGCTTAAATAGTAAGATGCACGAGACAAGGTGAAAGCAGCAGCTTGTCCCAGGCCGCCCGAGCAGCGGTTTGCAACGGCCAAACTCTTTACACAGGCAGTTCTACCTAGCAGTGACTGTACACAAAGAGTATAATATACACTGTAGTTTTCCTGGTCAATTTACAACAAGAGAAAAATAAAATAAATATTTTCCATTCTTATTATACATTAACACTTCGGTAGAAAGTTACAGCTGTTGCGTTGGCGGGACCTGCAACTTTGGGAGGAGAAGGGGCATGCACTTAGGTCTAGTAGGAGTCCTAAACTACGACCTTGTAATAAATTACGGAGGATGGGTGTCAGGATGGGTGTCCAAATACCGACCTGAACTCGGTACACAGGTGACTCTTGCTCTGAAAAATCACGTGTTGTAAAATACAAAAGCTAGTGGCTTGTATGACTTAAGTCAAACCACAGGGTTTTGCCTTTCCTCGGGTGCGTGCGAGCAGCAGGCTTGTGGCTTTAGGCAAAGAGGATGATGTAGTTTAGTTAGTCCTCACACCCTCACTCTTAACTAGCACCGTGGAGCTGTAAGGACCTCTGCAAACACCAAAGTTTCACGCTTAATAATTAAAGCATGCATTTTTGCAAAGTTTGTGCACGGTACCTATTTTATCTATTAAAGATACTGTGCAAAAAAGATTCTTAACCACTGAAGGTGTTTTGGTACTTTTGCTAATATTAAAAGTTACCAGCAATGTTTCTGAAGTTTAGCAGGCCTGGGTAAGATGAGTGAAAAGGCCCTACTTGGGGTTCACCCTTCACACTGAAGCACTCTGCTGATTGGCAAACCACAAAGCGATGGCAGCAGCCTCAATGTCCAACAAGGGGGAGAAAAGAGTTCGTGTGCGTTGCAGTTTACCTAAAAATATATATAAATATTTATAAAATGGCACAAAGCTTTGTACAGTTGGATCTGTCAGTGCAAATACATGCGTATGAGGTACCAATTTACTCAGGCCAGATCTGATTACACATATATTACAATCACGCCCTTAATCTGCTGTTGTCAGATTAGTATCGAAGTCAGATAAAAGCCAAGACAAATTTTCAGAGGTTTCGGTATCAGATCATTGTAACTTCTCTACAATTTAGTATTTACAATTTAGTTTGAGCCTTCTGCTCCTCAGATTGCTTGCATTATAAGGTTTCTTTAAAATATTTGGTGCCAATACTGTTTTAAAATTTGAGACTTGATTATGGAAAAGTTAAAACTGTCTATGTAAACTGGAACAAAAAATCTTAAGTGGCTGGACATTTTGTGCAGGATGTGGATTTTCAGGAAGGAGGAATGCGGTTATTGCTATTCGGGGACCACACAAACCCTCCCGAAGGCATCGACAGCGCTGCTCCAGCGGCGAGTACCAGGCAGACACCGAGCGCCACGCTGCCTAGGATCGCTCACCGGGGACGTGAATGCTGTTCAGGTTATCGACACCTTTCACTTCCCGGCGGCTGTGGCGACATTTGCACAGGGATATGGATTTGAAGTGGCTGACTGAGGGACACACGCAGCTTTTCAGCTCCGGCAATTCCTGCTTGAGGCGTTCCAGCTGCTCCACCTGGAATATGTTGGGTTGTTCAGGGTTCCAGTCGTATATCCTGAATAAACAAGAAAAGACACACAACACACTCATCAATACAACCTGGCAGCTCTCAGAAATGCAGACCACGTGAAGCTACTGTATGACTGAGGGCAGCGTTTGTCATTTTTGCCTCTACCCTTGCAGTATAAAATGATATTCCCTTGTCCACAGCAGCTAGAAGCTCACTGCCAGCTCACCACTGGCATTATCGTTTACCCTTCTGAAATGCCATTTTCCAGATCACTTTCCTCCTGGGGCAGAAAAAACAGTGAAATAAAGAAGGAATTTCAGGCTTCAAACTAAAATACCAAGGAACTTCAGAGGCCCAAGCAGATTATTTGAACAACCATTCACATCTACCTAACACCAGGGATGGCACTTACTCTTTCTAGAAGAGCTTGGGATGCAAAGGAGTGAATAATAAATTCAGTGCACCAAGAATTATGAAGTAGCTTAAAAGCAAAGAAAGTTAATACAGTTATGTAGAAGATTGCATCAGGGCAGGAAATGTGCATACAATATTCTTATTTCTGTGCTAGTTAGATGCCCACATAATAGATGCTTGTAAGATCTTACTGGAACAAGTATTATGTGCCAATAACATCAGCATGAATCTTTTTCAGTATCTGTTTGTCATGACCACTATTTTTTTTTCAAGATCTATTTTTCAGAACATCTTACAAAAAATCCTATTTTTGAATATTTCAGGAGATCACTTTCATTAAATACCAACAAATTAATCAAGTACTTGAACTGTGTGTTTCAGATTTATAAAACATATATATTTATATACACAGTCACATATATGTCCATTATATATGTTGGATATGCTGTATTTTTTCATAAAAGTATGAGACTTAAGAAGGAAAAGAAATAAATGGTTGGAAAAACAAATGAGAATGACACTTCTAATCTGTTTTCTAGTATTTTCAGTCTTGATATACCTGTATTTTTAATCTGATAGATGTTAAAATACAAAGCTTATCAGTATACATCATTAAGCTTAAGTTTTTGTTTGCTTAAGTGTTTCTTTATAATGTTTCCATTTTTTTTTTCTTGACTTGTGTAAAGCTGCAGTATTTGGACTACAATTTATTCAAGAACCTCTTTGGCAGCCAATTTAACAGTCGAGTATAACTGAAATAATCCAGCACCTCCTGTATTGTACCTAACCTTTCCACAGGACTCCATCCTCCCAAAGATCCAGAATTTTGCAGTTTCTTCTGCCATTCTCAATACTGTGGCAGCTGCTACCTTTAAAGCCAAGGAGTTGGTGGTATTAAAACATAAAAACGCTCCTGCTTTATCTCCTTCCGAAGTCACCAGAGACCAGAAACATTTGGAAGAAACTATTGTAGCTTCTGCCTCAGTCTTTTCTGTAGATTCAGCCCATCTTTCCTTTATGATTCACTCCAGATGTGTTTTGCTGTTACTGCATCCTCCCTTCATGCCTCAATTTCACGGCACATCCAAGGAGAACACGAGTGTCACACCCAAAACAACGGAGCGCAGCAGGATGAAGTGCCAGGCGCCCCTTGCAGCCCAGTGAGCCAAGTTACGGCGTGCCGGGAAGCCCAAGGCATCAGGTCCATGCAGTGCAGTTAAATGGCAATTGAGTGCAGTCAAAAAGCAATTAAAATAGTTCTTCAGCCAGAGTGTGAGGAGCGGACGAGCTCGGAGTGAGGAAATGCAGACACTGCTCAGGTGCAGGCACTTAATTTAAGTTGGGTGCTGGTCTCACACAGCAATGCACTCTAGGAACTGTTAAGGGCAGCAGCGAAGCGGTTCCCAGGGGCTTCGGGGCTTCCTGGCTGGAGCAAGTGTAAATTCTGCAATCCTGGCTGGATGCTCAATTCCTTTCTATGGAGATTTGGGAAAAATTCAGCCTGCCAAGCTCCACTGCAACCAGCCAACTCAAATGTGTGTGTTACATCTAAAGTGAAAACAGGGAAAACACTCTGAACCAGAGTTCCTACTTTTAATTTCCTATTAATAGGAAAACCCATCAGCAGGCAGGGAAGTCCTACCAGCATATTTTTAAGCTGTATTTTATACAACAGCTTTCTAGGACTTTTCAGGATTATGCAGTGATAATGGAACTGATGTTTTGAACTCCTCCCATGTATTTCTGCAGCCTCTGAAAACACGTGTATATCAGCAAATCTCAGTCCCAGCTGTTTTCCCTTGCTACTGCTTGGCTGAAAAATGCAGGATCAGCAGTACTGAAAGTGTAATTTCTTTTGCTTTTACTGCCAAGGAAAGTTGTGTTAACTACTGGAAAATTCGTTCAACTAATAGAGCACAGAGCTTTGGCTGGGAATCTGCAAAGGCAACACGGAGTCCTAAGGAAGTGTTTAAAGAATGTTTGAGGATTTCTGGTTTAACCATTTCATGCAGCTGTGTATTTTCTTTAGCAAACAAAACTCAGCTCGTGTAAAGTGAATAAAATAAATTAAAAAAAAAGAGGATCATTCAAATGTATGTTAGCATCCACCCCCTCTCCACATTGGTATTTAACATATACCAGCATGTGTGAAAACACAGGATTGACAGCTCTTACTTTTTAAGTAAATTCAAGCACAGAACTATTTCCTAGATTGTTCATTAACTGAAAAGCAGTAGCTAATAGGTTAAAATTTCCTCTCTAAATAATCTGAGCACCACTCTAAAAATGTATTTAAGCATGAGATTAACTTTGAGCTTGGACAAAAGATGCACAATTCTGCCCTTAAAATACTTTTCTGGATTTTGGTTTGAATAGAAACCTGGCTATTGAAGCAACACAGCAGACTTTTCCTATAGGTCTCACTTTTAACACAAGCAGGTAAAGCAATATTAATAATAATAATGATAATAATAGCAGCAGAATATTGTCCTGGAAACTGCACTAGTCCACCCTCTGTTTCACTGGCTTACCGTATGTCTGATAAGCTACAGCCCAAGTGGAGAAAGGACTGGATGGAAAACAAAACAAAATCCAAAATCCTCCTCCTCAGTGAGATGTTGCCTTTAGCAGCTTTGATAACTTATTCCCAGATGCAGGCTTGCAGTTTTTCTCCATGCAAAACAAAGTCAGACCCCCTACCTGCTCTCTTTTTTGCCCCACACTTGTTATCAGCAACTTTTTGGTATTGAGGACACGGAGTTTTTCTGCCATCTTCTCAAGTAGCTAGAATGTTTTTGCACAGCTCTAAATGGATGATTAAAGTTCAGAAAAAATTGCTTATAGAAATCATCTCTATCCAGACCATTCATAGTATTTGACATAACTACTACAAGCTGGCAACAATAATAATACCAAGCAACCACCCCAGATTCACTCAAATCTCATGTGTAGTTCATGCAAATCAAATGTTTAGCTCCTAATATACTCTGACAAACAAAGCTTATGAAGGTGGCTTACGAAAAGCTCTAGTGTAAACCAGGCACAGCAATTTTTGATGAATATCTGAACCTGGCCTTAAATATTCACTCTAGAGGACAAAAAAACCTTCATGTATTAGCTGTATGTTAATAGGTCAGATAACTGCAATATCCGCTTCTTTCTAGGTCTAGCAACAGGCGTTTCTCCACCTTTCTCACTCTCCCTGAGTTCTGCTTAAAATGTGCCTCTGTATTAATATTTCTTTAAACCTCAAACACCACAAAATAGGGATGCATCCCTCCTAAGACTTTCACCATGCCCATTCTCATTTTTAGGAGTCTAAACTCTTGATATTAACCATATCCTCTCACATGTTTTGAGACTGCCTCTTACCCAGCACGAGCTCATTTCAGCTCTAGCTGAAGACTGCAGCCTTGCTGCCGTTTTACACTTAGAAATACCATCCAAGACTAGCAGGTATTTCAAAACGTCCAGTTTGGGATATCTGAGGCAATTTGTACCAAGTGGCATACCCCTACTGAGGATTTGATGTTAAGACTCAATATAAATTGTATTTTTGAGTGTTGCTATGAATTTAGACATCCCAAATAGTGTAGGAAGATAACCAGTTTTTACTCATTTAAATCCAGAGGGCCTAGAAGTATATGAGCACTTTGGGCAACAACGAGATAAAACATGTTCTGACAGCATATTACAATTTAAACACACCAAGCAATATGAAAGGGTAAATAACATGAAACCTAGCAGAACTGTAGGCCTAGCACACATGCAATGCTATTTATTGAGCAGTCAACTCTGAAAAGCAACAAGCAGTCGCCTACATCTTTCTTCTTTTTTCATTTTAAAACCCCACGGTAGTGCCTATCTATCCCATCTAAAATACTCTAAAATACTGCATTTGTGGACATCAGATAAACAGGCATTTTACAAGATCACTTGATGAAGTAATAAGTATTTGATTAAAAGCCCTTCTCTTCTAGATATCGACTGTTTCGAGCCAAACATATGGTAGGAGCGAGTGTGCGAGAGTGAGAGCAGCATTTCTTCTGCACAGTGGTCAGTCAAGAAAATGTTTTTCCATCTACTAAAGGGGCTAAGTCAAGTTGTAAGAGAAATATAACATTTAACATGAGGAGTCTACACCTATATAATAAGAGCAAACAATATTCTGTTGCCTCTGGATAGGCTGACTTGCTTCTCACTTCATTTTGTAAACAGAAGATAAGCAAAGCCCTAAGCAAGTACGTCTAGAAAATGTCTTCTTTTACTCAACATTTCCAATTCTCTTTTTAATTCTTTCCCAATTACATAATCTTTGTAATTTTTCACAAAGTCTTCCTTTTCCTAATTCTCTTATACAGTTCCCCAAACTCAACATTCACTTTGTGATAGTGAATTTATTTCCATAAAACCCATGTGCTATCTCTGGCTATTAATTTCATATCTTTGTGGATAAAAGATCAGAAAGTTTTGACTGGTTTAAGAAACTGGAGTAACATTTTTTGTTTAAGGTTTTGTCATAGTCTTCTGATACCAGCCTGAATTGTACAGACAGAGCAACTACTTTCCAAAGTGACTCATTTTGAAGTCCACTTTGGGAATCACTTCAAACTGATTTTAATGGGAAAAACAGCATGAGTACACATGAACTCCCAGCTTTGAAACACAACTAAACAGAACAGTGAGAAAAAGTCATTCATTTAAGCTGTATTAACTACTCCTGTCCATAAATGCAGAAAGATTTCAGCCAAGCTGCTAAATAAATTTATTCTCGTCCTATCATGTATGAAGCTTAAAAACTACCATCAGGAACATTAACAGTATGTTATATGTTTATGCCATGGATTAGTTCTTTAGAGAATCACTTTCAGTCCTATTTAAACTTGTATTTGCATTAAACTCAGGAGAAGCAAAAGTTATTTTTATATATCTGAAAAATATATATTTATACAGTAAATACTTATATATTTGTACAGCTGTAAGAGTGTAAAAGCATTTTCATTAGTTTTAGTCTTTCTGAACTCTCCATATTAGTTTATGGACTTTCTGTGTTTATTGCATGAAAGGAAGATACTCTGCATCCAGTCAGTTAAAAAGCAATGTGATATTTTACAAGAATCAGGATACAACAGTATTTTATCCTCAATAATCTGATTATAATTTTAAATGCCAAGTGATGTACCTGTCGTATATTAGGCCGTGAACACCATATTCTCGCAACTTCTTCCTGTTCTCCGGGTCATTTGCATCATCACCCCACGAGAAAATAACTAAGTCTTTAGCTCTGGCTTGTTCAATAAACATTGGATTCCTCAGCAGGTCTTCGGAGTGAACATTAATTCCCTGCAATATAAAAGGCCTGAATTAACATCTAAGTCTCTGAAAAAATCTCTTAGAATATCAACTTTTTCTTTTTTAAACACTCTGAAACTTGCAGTTCTTTACAATTTAATACAATTAAAGAATCATAAACTGACAGAACTGTATTTTTTTAATAATGGGCATTAAATGGGCATTGTTTTGGCAATTATTAAATGCTGAGGCATTTTTTTTGTTTATCGTTTTAATTATCAGTGTAACGAATTATGCATTTACAACAAGCAGTAATGAGTTACTCTCATTTAGCCGCAAAGTAGTATGAGAAATTGTGAGCTTACCAGTAAGTTTTCAAACTGGGCAAAAATAATAGCAATTGAAGTTGTGCGAGATCTAAGATCCATAAGCTCTGGATAGAAATCAGATTCTCCTTGAGTGAGAAATAATACGGGATATTTGTTCTGCTTATGCCGAATCCTGTTTAAAAAAAAAAAGTCCATGTGTTAAAGAGCAGGACATTTAAGTTGTTGCCTTTAGTGTGTGTTCATTTGCTTCTGAGACAACAAGGCAGTATTAGAGTACTAAACCATGCATCACACCATTCCTTTTGCCACTGTCATTAGAGATTAACATACCCAGTTTAAGGGACGCTGGAGGTCAAGCAGCACTTAAATCCACATCCTTGTGTTCACGTAAATCTCTGCAGACTACCCACTTCTATCATTTTCTTTTTAAAGGTACTTGGCAGTAAAATGAACATTCACAGTAGGAGTTTAACACGTATGTTTAAGTTACAACACACGACCTTTTTTTGTGTACATTGCAGGCAAGATACCAGCACAGTGGTATAAAACGACAACAGATGGAAGCAAACTGGGGAGATGAGATATTAGGCACTTTTTGACACTTTTGCCAGCTAACCCTTTACAACTAAACTCATTAGGTTTTGTGTGACTCATTTACCCTTCCATGGTACCTCATCTCGGCAGTCTCTCATGAAATGATTGTCCACTGAAATTCTCGTTTATCAAATCTTTTCCATGGAGCTATTCAATAATACGGCTAAGATCACTTCTTGTTATGAAATTCTGCAGCAGATTGTTAATTAATTCATGCATATCCCAACTGTCTGTTTCCCAGTTCAGCTCCTGTGCTGCTTCTGTGTCTCTAGCTTCGATACGTCAATTCAAAAAAGCAAACTGTTTGACCAAAAAACGACAAAGTACAGCTAATTCAAAGCCATTTAATTTCTGTCCTTTTTAAAAGGCAGATACGGTTAAAAAAATTAACAAAAATCTGTTTTGTTTGTAAATTAGGCTTGTATGTGCTTAAGTATGATCTAAATGGACTTTAGAAAAAGAAAGACCAGAAAAAGAAAGACCAGAGCAATCAGAAATTCACTTGCTTTTGATATCTTCACCTATCCTATTCCTGTCATGACTCGGATGACAAAGGAATCTTATTCCTGTTTCAATTCCCAACTGTTCCAGCATCCCAAGTTTAGGTCTAATTGAAACATGCAATTAGTTTCTATTAGAAGTTAATTAGATCTAATGTTGATTTTACCTAATAAAAAGAAGAAAAAGATTTATCACTTCTTAACTTACATTGTACAGATATCTGCATCAAATGAAGAAAAAATAATTCTCCTTCTTCCAGCATTTAGCAAAATAGTTTTTAGAATAATATCTAAAAAGAGGTTCATATCAAAATAAGTTGACAAGTTGCCATCCCACTGTCCATCCTATAAAAAAAAGACAAGTTTCAACCACTTAAGCTAATGCTTACTAACATGGTTTTAACAAGCAAGGATCTCTCATTGAGTCTGGATGAACTGAAAATTCAGCTTGTAAGTCTGAATACAAAAGTCACTGCTTCAGTCAAACAAATGCTACTGGCAGCCCCAAGAGTTTTTTTTGAAAGGCATGCAGCTGAAATTTGATTTTTAACAAAATTAACTAAGAAAGGTCATTGCCTTTCTGTTCACAGGGAAAGTCTGCCTGAAACCTTTCCTAACTCTGAAACCATATCAAATCTATAAAATATCATTAAAACTGCAGCTGTTTTGCGTTGGTATTTTTAAAACACAAATGCAAATGCTTTTTACTTTATAAAAATAAAAGAATAGTGGTTACAAATCTTGCTGTAAGTGACTCTCAGAGGTGTCTGCATGACAGACTCACTCCTCATATGCACAGTTATGCCCAACTTGTTGGGATTCGTTTACCTTAAAAAATGATCTTCTACCTAAAATCCTTAGACCTGCATTGTAAGCTCAAACCTTTACACACTTCCTATTACTCTAGGCATAAGATTTTATGCATTTATTTGCAGGATTAGCGCCATTATACTCAGTTTTAAAGACAGTGGATTATAATAAAATAAGAAAGTAATGAGAAACATCAATAAAAAAAAAAAAACCAAACAAACAAAATAATAATTGTTTTGGTTTGCAGCTCAAATTACCTTGTCAAATGACAAGCTTTAGCCATGAAATAACAAAGTAACAAACCTGTACATTTACTTACTCTTTGCTGGCAGATCCATTTTATTTCTATGTTGAACCCTACATCTTCAGAAACGGACTCCAGGACCTGAAAAAAATATTATTCTGAAGAAACCACACAGCTAAGGAGGGCAATTAAGTACTATTAGTAAGTGTAAATACTGGGGACACTTACTATAATTTAAGCCCCAAGATTAATAGTAGAATAAAGAATTTAAGTCTTTAACACAAGCAAATTTATCTCTTTTCTACTTCAGTTCAAAGCTATAGAAAAACTGATAACATTTTGATGATTTTTTTTTTTAAATACAGTACACATAAAAGTTAATTCACCCCAACATGTGTGTAAATACAAAACCTGAGTGACAGAGCAGAGGAGTATCTTTCATCAGATTAATTTGTTTGTAATATCTTATTTTTTCTCCTATAAAGGAAATATTTTATACTTCTCCGGGGAGTTTTTCCGAATGCAAAAGGTATGTAAAGTTAAAAAAAATCCCTGTATAAAATCCATGAAAATAACATTATTACAATGAAAAAATATGTGAAATATTTCTAAGGGAACTATTAACCTTAAGATGAATTCGAAACAGAATGTGAAACCAAGAGCTACTGAAAACAGGGAAACAAGAAAATCAATAGGTCATTCTTTAACCCTGTGAAGAGGACATATACAGAAAAACATAATATATACATAATGTATTCTATAATGTATTCTATAAAAAGGAAATTCAATTTTGGGAAGCAAAGCAGATGGAAGCACTGAACCTCAGTAGTTCAAATAAATCCATTTACTTTACTCAGTCATCTGATTAGACAGTAAAAATACAGCTGAGTATAGGAACTTTAAGGGAATTATATTCCTTGCCAGGTAAAAAGTTGAAAGAAAAATGTCTGCTTTCATGTTTTATAATCATCATTTCTACTGCTCCATATGGACTACTTACTGTCTGCAGAGAAGGAAATGGCTGGGTCTCAAAAGCAAAGTTTTCTTCTTCTTTAAAAGATGCTGAAATAAAATATAAAAGATTGGTTCAAACAGAAAGAGTGGCATTTCTGCTCCCAACACAAAAAGACTATTTCAAAAATTGTAAGGTCTTCTAAAAACTAAAAATTGGAATCAGGTCTACAGATTATTTAATTCTTTCCTAGGACACCAACATACACCAAGCAGGGGTGTGGCCAATTCCCATTTTTCACCAGCAGGCAAAAAAAAAAAAAAAAAAAAAAAAAAAAAAATCCCTGTTACAAATCTTGCCAGAATGCTTATTTGAAGCAGCCTCACCCCGTTCTCACCATTTCAGTCGCTATCCCACCTCTAGCAGAAGTGGCCTTGCCTGCCACAGCTTACTATTTATTTTATCTTTTCCCTGGCAGGTGGGATGTATAAGGCACTTCATCAAATTCTGCTGTCCCCATAACAAACACAAATTATGGCCTTAGACTTATGGCACCCCAAAAACCACACCCTTTAATAGCTACAGAAATTCTTATTAGTTGCTAAAAAGCTACAGTCAAGAGAAGTATGGGAGGGAAATATGGGGGAAATTTGCTAGGAATTCATATAGATGTATTTATAGATCTATCTGTATCTGCTAACCCTCTTGTCCCCTCTTCCAAGGCAGTAACATCTGTCCAGGCATCTACATGCCAGCAAAAAGCTCTGCAGCATACCCTTAATTGGAATAAGTCCCTCAAATGTTTGGAAATGAACTCTCAGCCTTCAAAAGGCACAAACGATTAGAACAAATCACTGAATATATTATATAGTAATAAATAAATAAATCCCAAACTTTTGGCGGGTAGTACATACTATTGTGATCTTTTACTTTCAGGGCAGTCACATGAGCCAGCTAAAAAAAGATTTAAAAAAAAGAATCAAATTAACAAATGCTTGAGCCCTAGAGGTCTTACTAGATATAAAATACAACTAATTTTCCTTACTTTTTTTAAGTTTAAAGCTTCCTCATAAGCAGAGTTTTTGAAAATTCCAAAACACAAAAGAAATCCCAGAACATGTGAGTGACAATTTTCTTTCAAAATGACAATTTAAAGACTTCCAGGAAAGCTAAAAAAATTAACTAAGAATATTCTTAGTTATCTTAATATTCTTAATTCAGAAAACAAATTCAAGGATAGAAGAGCCTTGGTAGAACATAACATTAAGCTGTGAGGAAGTCTGAATATGAAACCTCCTCCTCTGTGAGGTTCTAGAGCCTGTTTTTAATAAATCACAGATAGAGAGCTGACAAGAGTCGATATAGCCACATACAGGCTCCATATAGGATCAACCCCATCACTCCATTCAAATTCCCTCTCCAGGTTATGGAAGACAACAAGAAATTTTAAGTGAGAAGAACAAATTATTGACCCAGTCAGTGCAGGTTGCTTTGAGGGCAAATAGTGCAGCTGGCGTCTCCAGTAGCCCAGTTTCATTCCCCCTTTTTAGTAGAAAAGAGTTTCCCTTTGGAAGCCACAGTGATACCCAAAGCAATCAAAAACTATCAATTAATTCTAGCCCGTTCATCCAGTCCATCTTGTTGACTCATGGACCATCTGTGCCTCCAAACACATGTCCAAGAAGTCAGTCATCATAACCTGGGCCTCTCTTGTTAGCAGGGAAACATTAAAAGCTACATGCACATTGTGACTGAAATCTTTTTTCAACAAAGATTCCAGCACGTGAGGTATAAACAGTTCCTAGCACTAGTTTTCAGTCTTTTTTCTGCTCCCTTTTTAATATGGTCTGTATTAACAGCTACTCAGTACAGATCTATGCAAGCTCATTGGTCCATTTTCCCAGCAAATATGAGAAATGCATTGTACCTGAGCTCTAAAGATGCTGCAAAATGATGCAGCAGCATCATTGGAATTACCTATTGGTTCTACTCGCGCAATTCCCACAACTTATGCTCTCTCCCATCATCTAGGAAGTTTCACACTCCAATCCATACCCTACATCTAGCATATGGTACAAGCCAAAGCAGGATACCTTCAACAACTGCAGCTGATCAAACGTGAGTTCTTTGACTGGAATCTCAAACAGTTCCAAGGGCTCAGTATCCAGTTTCTTTGAAGAGAATATTACATAAAGAAGCATCATTGAAAAGTATACAAAATACTCCATGCTTTAAGGTGGTAATATGAAATACAACTTTTTTTTCCCTTTCTTTTACTGATAGGGATGTAAGTCACATCATATTACAATATGAATAAGATGCTCTGTTTTCCAATATAAAAAATAGAATTTGATTTTTCAGAAAAGTCATCATAGTCTCCAATGTTTTTTCATAGTAACTTTCAATAAAAGTTAGTGCACTTATTCTGTGAGTATATGACCAGTAGGAGTCCATTCCATTTTCCTTGCAAACTATAACTTAAATAAAAATCCTTAACGATAATTACAATGTATGATTAAAGAAACTTGAATGAGGCATCCGAGATGCTGCTGTTAGAACATCAAAAGAAAGCACTCAATTTTTTTGCTCTATTTTATAGAAATTAAATATTCAGATAACATTTAAGTTGCATATTTATTTCCAATTCCCCCCTTGATTTCTCAGAATTATTTCTGAGACATCCTAGAATTTGAATTTCAGGAATTGAAGATGAAATACAGACATCATCTTAGTTACCTTTTTCATTGCCATGCAACACGTGAGATCGTGATATACAATAGGCACATGATCTTTAGAAAGATGTACATCAAATTCCACATATGCTGCTCCCTGCAAAGAATTAAAACAAAACAAAACCCTATTAACTCTTTTTACACAAGGACTACAGCACCGTAGAAAACTCAGAAGACAAATTATCAAATGTAAGGTCCACAGGTCCTGGGCATGCACCAGAAGCTGAGTGCAAGCTAACTGGTAGTTAATAGTTAAAATGAAGTTCAACGAAGCATTATAAAATAATAATAATAATTTTAAAAAAAAAGTAGAAGAGTATTTAAGCTACCATAACACAACTCTGATACCTACTGCTTATGTAATCTTGTAATTCTTCAAGTAAACTCAAGTATTGTGAACTCTCTTCAGAGGAATGCCAACATGACAGTCCCCTCTTTCTCTTCAATCAAGAAGTAAGTGAATGAGGGCTCATGAGCTTTTGTTTTGCTACAGATTTGCAAAACTTCAAGGAGATACTCCAAATACTGAGAAGCCTCTCAGGCCCCTTGTGATTAACACAATGGAAGTATGTTATACACGTGTGCAAGGAATGGTTGGATTCAGTACTCTCCTACCCTTTTTAGCTCTATGTTTTTGTTTTCCACTAAACCTAAAAGGAAGGAAGATTAAAAAAAGAGCTTTCTCATCAGAAAGGTTTCATAGCAGTGGCTTTCAGCTTTTTCAACTTGAAAATGTGACAAATATTTCTCTTTTGGTACCAAGATCTTTTGGTAACTGGCGACTGATTTCCTCAGCATTCAATGTATGCTCCAAATGACTCTGGCAACTGTTAGCGAGCCTTCAGTTTTGACTCTCATGGAATACAGTGTTCAGGATCTGAGAGCCAGTAAGCATAACAGTCCAGAAAGCTCAGCTCCCATCCTTGAACAACTTTAAGGATATTCAGCAAATAATCTGTTTTTGAAAAGGGAAGCGCAACTAAAAATAGGTATTACATTGGTGCCTGAAAAGGCTGCTATGAGGTGATCTAACAGCAACCACAGCTGGACAAGCAATCTCAGAACTTGCTTCAGATTTCAGCTACGTTTCTGCAATGCCTCACTGCCTTCCTCGTTCAGCTCCATCTTATCATAGATCACAGGGATTTCAGTGACTCAGATTTTTGGAAGGAACAAAACTGACTGCACTTCGATCACAGAACTGGAGCGTTTGGACCAAGCATCTCTCAAACTGAGTCTCATTATAGTCCTCACTGTAACAGCCACCGGAACAAAAGATTATTTTATTCTACCAACTCATGTCCCAAGTATTTTTTTCCACGTTAACTTCAGAAGTCCTATTTTTTGAAATTTCTGCACAATTTTAGGCACTCTACAGTCCTTAGAGAAGACCTTATACACCCATGAGTATATCAGCAGACTCCGAACAGGCAAATTTTATTCACTTTTTCAAAATTATTCACAACCTTGCAGAGATGAGATTCAAATTTTCCCTGCATTAAAACCAACACAGGAACATATTAGGCTTTTTTTTTTTTTGAGGAACTTAAAGAATGAGAATCTAAACTGTGTTTTTATTTCCCTTCAAATCTTTCAGGGAATTGCCACAGTGGCACCTTGATTTCCACATTATTTTATACGACTACATTTAAAATTTATGTTACTCAATCACTTAAATACAGAAGTCAAATAGTTTTAATTGCATGAATAGTGGCGTGTGTGAAAATGTGCATACATACATGACTAGCAGCATTCCTCAGAGAAGCGATAGTGTTCTCTTGAACTTTAGCAAGTCTGAAATAACAGCAATGAAATACAATTCATTAGGGGCAAGATAACACAGAAATCCATTAAAAAAAAAACGAAATACAGGTTGAAGGTCTTTGTTTTTAAGGTTGTCCAAGTTTGACATTCAAGTGACTTAACTGATTGTGTTGTGGCTTTTAATTTGAAAGTGGCTGCTTCTGCAACTGATGTCAGCAAAAACAAGCAAGATATAAAAACAGATTAAAATAAAAATTGACTGACTTAGTCGTAGTTGTAGAATTTCCAGCTCCTCTGTGCCCAACATCTAGAGTTGTTCTCGGTTTCCAATACTTTGCATATGAAGCCTTCATATCGCAAGTGTATCCTTGTATTGGCTTAATAATTATGTAGTCCACTACAAGAAAAATACCAAACGCTTCAAGTGCCAATAGAAAACACAGGATTTCATATAAAGTTGTGCACACTCTTCGCATTAATTATACCTCTAACTTTCCCAATTGTCTTCCTTGTAATTCGGCTCATGATGGGAAGTGTAAGAGTTCCAGCACTCTTTCCCTGTTCTGCAATGGTGGATGACAGGAGGCAGGCAGAAGCCACATGACCTGGGAGCACATCTCCTTGTAGCACTTTCTCACACAGGTGTTCCTAAAATAAATCAGTTAAATAAATAAATAATTTAATTAATCTTCTTAGGAAGATATATACACACAAATCTCCTGTGCATTACAGAAAATACTAACTTCAGGCCAAAACATGTTTTGTGTTAGTCCCTATGTTGCACCTTACCACCAGCAATATGAAATTGCTGGTGGAAATCTTGAAAGTTACGTTCAATTGTCTTCGAAAACTCTTAGATTTAGTAAGTTGTTCAGACCCAAACTGCATATATGCAATATTCTCTCTTATGAAAGGCCCAAGTCATATTTAGGACAAACATGAATGAAAGTGTGTGTGTGTGTGTGTGTGTGTGTGTGTGTGTGTGTGTGTGTGTGTATGCTTAAAACAACTCTGTGACTTTATATTAATCATCAGGGAAGGAGAAGGCCACTAGCAAGCACAATGCAGATTAGATCATTATTGAATTCAGTGTCTACGTGGCTATTTTACAATTATTATACAATTATTAAGTGATCTAACAGCATTTTTGGATCAAAAGGGGAATGCTTAGAAGTTTCCTCTGCATAAAAGTTGTTTCTTTAAAAAAAAAGAACTTCACATTTTAAAACGTTTCAGGAAAAAAGACAGTGTGAAATCACTAACAGTGAAAGTTTGCAAATGTCCATTTTTAATTTGCATTAGTTACTTCAGAGAAATATTTATTTATAAATGAAAATCAAGATCAAATAATGGTAATTTAACTAGTTCTTATATACATATTATTTCAATTCAAAAAGGGTAAGTAAATTTTATGCCTGGATACAGGACAAAAAAAAAATCAAACCAACCTACCTACATATGCAATACTGCCCACTAAGATTTCAGTCCATATTGACTTCTACATAAATAGAAACTACAAAACTATTAGTGCCGTACAGAGAAGACTCAAATCTTTCTGTGTAATGGAACTATAATAGTGAACTGTGTCCTAACTGGTCTTCAAGGATCCAAAGAATCAAGAACATGAGTTTATATGAAACTGCCTCCTTTAACTCCAGAAAATAGACCAAGTTATTTCGCTGCAGTAACAAAACATACCTCAAAAAAATCAAAGTTTAATTCCAAGTTATCAGGCTCCATGGTTTGTATAGTATATTCTGTCCATCGATCCGGCTGTAAAGCATAGCCACATTCTGGCTGAGAGTGTCGACTTTTATATTCATTGTTACTTATTAAGGAGATCTCCAGAGTGTTTGCCATTTTCCGAGGGAAAGAAGGGGATGTTTTATCTTGGTCCTCTTCCTCTTCCTCATCGTCATCTTCCTCTAGGCCTTCTAGAGTCAATTTTACTCTACTCATGCAGAAATACAAAACAGAAATTGTTAAGTTGCAGAAGCGTCTTCAAGAACACTGAAGAATGAGACAAAAAGGATTAGAACAGAAGGTCATAAATCTGCTCACCATCACCATCTACAGAAGAGTACTGCATACTCCAACTTCCATTAGGAGAATTTGGGACTACCATTTGATTAAATCCTATTTAAGACAGGTTTTAGGATGTTCACGTCATTTCCGAAACTGGAAGGTAGGCAGGTGTGAAAGAGTGTGAAGGTGTGAAAGGAGGGGGCAATGGTCAAAGAGGCTGCAGTCACTCCCACGCTAAATTTCTGGGCTGTCAAATACACAACCTGTCACCAAAGACTTTGATAAAGCTGAAAAGCTAATGAGAAGCACTGAAAATAATAATCATCAAGACCAATAACTGAATTTTTGTGTATTTCTAATACTCTGTAGGACAATAGAGGACAGCTCTGCAATTAAAAACAAAGTGATGTATATATGGAGCAAGCAGTTAATGACTGCTGTTATATCCATGTTGACTGGAGATCTGTAAGCCACTAGAAAACTAACCATATTTTAAATGGGCAGGCTCTGTATGCTTTGAGAGAAAAAAAAGTAGTAGCAAAATAAATAAATAAATGAAGGTAGCCTTTTCCCTCTGCCTTTCCCTAACACTAATCTCACAGCCTTTCCATTCTGCTTGTTGGCAGAAGTTAGGAAAAAACAAACAAACAAACACCCACTGGATGTAATTGCAGAGAACTACTTAAGAATTCCACAGTTCCTGCCAAGAAGCAAGAAACAGCAAGATAAAGATGGAAGAAATATTTGTGAAAGAAGCCTGTTGTCTATTATTTCAACTGGGCCATCATATCTACTTTATATATTTTTAGTAGTTTGGAAACGCAATTATCAGAAAGGCAAGAATTGACGAGCATTAAGTGAGCAGTAATTGTTTCATTATTTGTGTTCCTTTGCAGAAACAGAGAGAACTCTTTTGACATTACATCAATAACAAAAGAGGAAACTGAGACATAGTACTGATTTCATGCAATCATCAAATTTTTACAAAGTGTCTGCGCACCTCAAATTGGGTTTGATGTGCTACCATATTTGCAACCCGAATTATTAATAGTTACATTAATCACCGGTGTTGAAAATTAAAATTGCAAACTGAGATAAACAGGCTCTTACCTAAACCTTGATGTTTTAAATTCCTTCTTAGATATCGACACAGGTGGCTTTTCTGAATAATGAAGGCGCAATCTTATTTCTGTTTGGCATGTCAGCCAGCCAGCATCCACAGTTTTTACACCATCTGCCAGAAATTAAACAACAGAAAATAGTAATGACATCTTAATAACTTTATTTTCCAAAGGGAGATCCACACAGTCTGATTAGAGATAGTTATACATAGCTTAATTGCTGACTATCTCTTTCTTGCTCTTACACAAAGCCATCTCACAAGGGAAACAAACTAGAACAGCAGCTTCTTGAGTTAACTGTGTGAACCAGAATGTTAATTCCAGTATTAATTTTATCCATGATATCAACAACTAGGTAATCCCTCAAGGTAGAGGCAACAGTCTCTTGTCCTGGGATCTTGAGAGACACAAGGACAAACACACTCAAAGCTCTGAAGGTCCGTAAGAACAGCTTGAGAATCCCTGTTTCTGTCGAAATAGAGACATTCTGTCATCTCATTGCAAATAATACCAGTAAAGCAGTGCTGGAAGTATAGATAGATAGAATGGGGAAACGTAACATGGAGAAGTATCTCTAGCTCATCACCAGGGAAAGGAGAGCCTGGAAGCAGGATGGTCAAGAGGCACAAGCTGCCAAACCAGAGGCTGAAGGAGATCTCACAGTTTTCAGGAGTTCCAACAAAACGTGCGATTCGGTAAAGATGTGAAGAAAAATGAAAACTTAAGTACGGGATATGACAAAAGAAAGAGTTAACCTAAAGTTAAGGGATTAAGCATTTAGTGTGAGGTGGGTTATGTCTGCTCAAAGAGTTTTAAGGAGACTCATGCACATACAAGAATGCGAGATCTGAATTTACAGGAGATGTTGGTAGTTACATGCGTAACTGAAGAGTACAATTGGGTTTATTTAGTATAAGCCGAGAAATTTTTCTAGAAAGAGGTTTTTTGCTATGCCTAGCTTTAAAGAGAAACCTAACAGTCCATTCTGCATTTCCCAATTTGTATGTACATAATCTAGTTAGAAAGGAGTACAGTCTGAATATGAATTAACAAATACTAGCTTCAAATACGAGTATGCAAGCAGATAAAGCAACAATTAACAGATAATTCCTCCTACGCTATTTTAGCATTTCCATTTATTTTAAACCACAACACTCAAACTCTTTAAAATTAAATACATGGTAACGATCAATATATTTCACTTACTATGGACTCCAAAGCATCCATCATCAATAGTTATTTCATTTTCTAGAATTGAAGGGGGGGGAAAAGAATGAAATAAACTAGTTAGTATTCATGCCTTAAGGAATTACTGCCAATTTATTCTATTTTTCCCACTTCATTTCTAAAAATATATCTAATAAAAAGCAGGAAAAGAGAAACTGACAAAGAATAAGCATAATTATTGCAACCTTCTATAAAATTTATTCAAAATTAACATTTTTCTTAGCTTCTGCAAAAAGACAGTCAACACAAGAAGTGCTGTAAGATGTGCATTTTACATGAGATAATCTGAACTGTGAAAAGAAGGTTGCATTTTTTTCCTAGTTTATTGCAGTATTTTCTTCATACTATTTATGTCTCGCTAGAATATAAGGTACTTTTCTTGTTAGTGTCTAAGACATTAAATTTCTTGCAAACATACAAGAAAGTTGTTCTGCACATTCACAGCTAAAGCTTCTCAATCAAGTTAGTCGCAATTAAAATGCTTATTTTGTCCACATGACATAATCTATCCTAGGATAAAACACTCATTTCACACCTACTTTTAGCCTTACTCTCCACAGAGTTCTAAATTGTGAAATCTTCAGGCACTAAATCAACTCACAGGCATTAAAAGAATTACAGTAATCTACAGGAGTTAGATTTTTTTTTCAAAGGCTAAATCAAAAAAAAAAAAAGGCCTCTATAATCATTAATTCCATCTTTTTATAAGAATAACCGTCCTCCCCTCAAATTTTTCATCTCAATAACCATTAGGCAACAATTCTGTATCATAACATCCATTTTTGACCAGCATTAGCAGCTTGTCATTAAAAAAAAAAAAAAAAAAAAAAAAAAACCCAAAACCCTGCTTTTCTTACTGTATATCTAGTAACTGATATAATAGGATACATTTTTTACCCAGCCTTCGAGTGCCCTGTTTTCTGTAATTTATTAAGAACTTTTTATGAAGAGAGCCAGTCTACTATTGGAAAAGATCCTAGGGAATTTCAGCTTGAATTATAAAATTAAATTTTAGTTGGATAAATTTAATGATTGTAAAAGGTATTATGCACCTTTAATCACAGCATTCTGTATAGGGCATTACTGACATTAATTCAGTTTATTAAGGAGATAACAAGCACTGAATGTTACTTGAAAAATGAAAATCTTGTTGGAGTTGTTATCCAAATTTATAGACAATCTAAATGGAGGGTGGACTGCTTCCCTAGTTGCTGAATTACTAACAAATAGAGAAAAATCATTTCATTGCAAGAAGAGAAACCCTTAGCTGAACTGATTCAAATTAAACCACAAAAAAAAACCCACAATAATGGTACTACTTAGGATTAACTAAATATTTCTTGCTTAAAATATTATTTCTAAAAGACATTTCCCTTTCAGTGAACCAGAAGGTATTTACTAGATGTAAACTCATAAATGTGGAGAAAATATTATTTCTCATAGCCCAAAATAGACTGTAAATAAAGAAAAAAAATCTAGAGCAGCATAAGAGATCTAAGTTACAAACCACATTCAAAGATTATTTCAGTCACTCTTATAACAAACCTTTTCAAACCTTTTCCCCCATGGAGAAAAGCACAAGAAACTTTTATGCAAATTGTCATGTTATCCTTTCTTCCAGGGAATTAAACTTCTGGTAATTTACCAGTCAAATAAACCCATTCAAGTTGCTATTTGTATCACTCAAAATACTTAAAGAAGTCTAAGAATGTTTGTTTTAAATATTTACCGAAGAATTTGTACTTAAAAATCATAGTGCTTCATGCCCCCACCCCTTAAGTCCCCATTTTCTCTGAAAAATAATATGGAGCCTTAGTCTCAAAGAATGAAACTTCCAAAAAATTGTGCTAATTCCAGATTAACACATCATTTTAAGGATTCCAGCCAAGAATTTCAACTCCACTCCATTTTAAAGACATTTATTCATATATATTTTGAGATTAAGGTCCATGCTGTGCAAAGAGAAAGTTTGTACCTGTAACATGTTAATAATTTTAAGTATTTCAAAGCTATAATTATCAATCCCACTACACCAATGTGCAGCATATTAGCAATCTTATGCATATGCCTCAAACAGATGCAGTTGATGCCCATACCTAAAGGGGTTATTGATCGTGGTTGTAGATGAGTCTCCCACGTGTGAACTATGACTTGGCAGGGACCACCGATAGTCTGTAATTTAAAAGTTACAGGTCTGCAATAATTTCTTTTGTTAGAGCTGGTTTTCTAGCCACGAAACTTATTTGGGATGGTTGTAAACTAAACTTATAGACTTAAGGGGAAAAATAAAAGAAAAAAAGAAAGGAAGAAAGAAAGAAAGAACAATGAACAGGTTAGGCTTGTTTCTTACCCCCGCTCCTGCTGACAACACTACCTAATTCGCCAGATCACACTAAATATGACAAAGCCCATGACAAAATCTGACAGAGTGGAGTTTAAAATCTAATTATATTTTTACTGATTATTCCACTGGACTACTACTTTCTTTCGGATTCCAGAAATCCGAATTCTAAACACACATCTCTGAATTCATTAGCTGTATTTTCTTAAGATACTGCAGTAGCAATTCATAAAAAGAATTCACCTGATTCTAACTAGCCCCAAGCATCTCCTCATGCAGCTAAGAGTTGCAGGGCTGCATTCTCCCCCCAAATTGGCTCAAACAGTTCAAAGTCTAGAACACAAAATTATTTTGATTGCAATAAAAAAGAATAAATCATCTACTACTTCAGAAAGACATAAATAATCAGAGTTCTGCTAAACTGCATGGAAAAATAAACCAATACAAAACAGTGTGTCTCAGTTCAGCCAGAGAGTATCGGTATAAGACCACCTAAGACATTCTAAAAGTAAATGAGCATTGCACAGGTATTACTATTAGTCATTAGCACTGTTAATGGAATAGCTGCAGAATTTGATGTTGGGAAGTCTGGGGCCTAAGCAACTCCTACTATAAGGACTAGGCTCTATTGCCCACCTAAGGCATAAAAGTCGGAATGCCAACGTGTTTGAGTAGTACAGGATCTTGTTCACACGATTTCCCTTCAACAGGGACACGCAGGCGTCAGCAGTCTAATTACACAATATCTGAATGCTTTGAATCTTACAGCTCATTGTATCACTTCTTTAACACCAGATGGAATTGTTTTGACCTATATGAAACACGTTGTATCTATCACAGTTTGCCCTGGGTTAACAGCAAACGCCAAATATTTTAAAAGCATTTAATAATATGGGTTTGCTCTGTGACTCACTGCTGAGTGCAAGTCATTTTTTTCCAGTGAACTCAGTGGTATGTATTTCTAGGAATCATGTCAGAATAAAATACATCTGCTTAGAGCTCATTTGTGAAGACAGAACACATGCAAAACCAAGTGACATTAATGTTTTCATGCTATTCATGCTACAGGGCAGTTCTCTGCCACCTCCACCACACTCACTCTTCTGGACTTGAGCAAAACCCCATTCCCGTGCAGGTCCCTTCCTCCCGCCTTGTTTTCAGCGGCCACGCACACGTGTCACAATCTCAGTTTTCCCCAGCTGAGCCCTTCCTTGGCCAGCAGAGAGTTTACTGCTTCCTAATGCCAAGCAGGCTCCCCAGCAGCGACTTCCAGGAACACAACTTGCTCAATTGCAAGGGTGGGGAAGGTGAAATCCTTTCTAAAATGGACAAACAGCATTCTATAGTAAAATACCAATAATACCAACTTATTTCTTAAAGGATAATTAGACCACTGCAATTGTACATTTTATGTTCTAAAGATACGAAAGTGAATTAATAATGTTATTGTCAAATTAAGTGCATCACACTATATTTAACAAAATATTACATCAGGCTGTCTATGCATTTAAACCTAGGAACCCTGAATGTTTTACATACAAGAAAACAACCAAACAAGAGCAGAAAAGCAAAGCAGCCTGGAAAGAAAAGGGGCAATGGAGTAGTGGAAAACAGACTGAGAATCCTCTCCCAATCTCTTCTCAAATCACCTTCAGGTTTACGGGCATTGAAATAACCTGCAGCTAAAATGTCTTAATTCTATTCAATAACTTGCTGCACAATCAGGTGGAAGTATTAAAACGGTTTCAGGGGCACATTCTGACCACACTTGAACAGCCCAGCTCGGATTATCTTGCAGCAGAAGCTAATGATGTGTCACTTAACGTTTGCATTATGATTAGCATCATGGAAAAGCCTCTGCTCTGAAGATCTTAAAAAGCATCTATCAGAACGTCACGAGAAGCATCACAGTGGGCAGTATATTGAGATTACACAGTCACCACATGGCCTGCATCTCTGCCCTTTAACACGGAGGACTTCCTTTCAAGTAAATATACATGTATGTTTAATGAAACATTTGATGCAGCTTCAAAGCTCTTGAAGAAAATTCGAGATTTTTTTCAGAAATCAAGCTCCCATATATATGGTAAGCTGGAAGTCCCTACAGAAATCATTATATGCTTCTGAAATGGAGGGTAAAATGCCTTTACGTGGCTTCTGAGAATTGAAAGCAGGTTGATTCATGCTCTGCATGAACTGCTTGCTCAGGATACTTCAAAACTCAAAGCACGTCAGTGGATGTTTCAAGGAAGGCCAGTTTCAGGAGGCCAGTTTCAAGCGTCCTGATCCAAGCTAACACAGCAGAATACCGACATCAAGAAATAAAAATATTCTAAAACACAAACTTCACCATACCCAAGACTACACTTTACAGTTTACATCTTAAAACTATGTTTTAAGGATATTAATCTACTTCAAGAACATGAAACAGTTAAAGGAAATAGATGACCTCACTGCTATGCTGGACTTCTGACAAAAAGACAAAAATCTCTCTGGATTTCTGCACCGAGGTAATAGTAACTAAGCACCAATCAACAAATACTTATGCAAGTAACCTCACAAGGCAGTTACACACACAAATCAACTGTCACCAAGTCCTAGGTTACCTAGATATTTTATAGCTCCTGTGTTTCAAGAAGCAGTTTGACACAATCGGTTATTCCAGAAATATTCCTTTGCTATTAGCAGGGTAGCCAGGAGTTATGAGCCTGGCGGCAGCTTTACTAAGGCACCTGCTAGTGCAGAAATTACTGAGTCTGAATCTAGATTTCACTTTTATTAATACACTCAAAGCACTAAATGGATTTGGCTTATTTATATTTTTCAGTATTAAATCTTATTGGAAACATACAGTTAACTATAGCATATAATTACATGATAATATGACAAATCTGAGAAATGCTCATGAATCCATTTTTTAAAATTTGCTGCATCCATGGATAGCTTAGTTATTGTACACTTCCTTCAAAATATTTCCCCTATTTACTGTACAGAAAACCAAAAATATAGAATATGGCTTAACAGAATAAAGTATGCGTACACTTTAAGAGGTTTTCAAATTTTTGTCTTATTTAACATAATATACTTATTTACTTTTCTTTAAAAATGCTTAGGATGAATCTTAAATTATCATTAAAGTGTACACAACGTATTAACATCTCTTTTCCTTGACATGCAAGCATCAAGACACGCACCAAGTTTATAGGAAAAAATATATAAGTATATTCATTTATCTGTATTTCGACGTAAAGGAAAAACGATGAAATGTTCAATGTAAATGAATACTCTCTGTGTAATCATCTTCATGACACCAAACTACTTCAGTGCAAACAAACCAAACTTTCCTTGACATCCTACTGTTCAAGTAAAATACTAACTGAAAATAAATCATACCTAAATGGGAATTTTTAGGGAGATGAGGCAAATACTTTCCTATTTGCTTCTTCTTAAATGTGAATTATTTTCACATCTAGTCTGTTCCAGTATTTTTGTCAATATGAAAATGTTTATTTCTCTGTGCAGAGAAATCCCCGATTTTCTATCATGCACACGTATGTGTATAATTGTATATAATTGTATATAATTGTATATAATGTATATAATTGGCCACCTCAAATGTCTTCCAAAATGCAGTTCCTACAGAAAGAGAATTTTACATTGACTCACTCTTCAGCATGATTTACTCAGTTATATGATGATACATTCAAACTTTAATACAGCTTTAAGACTACACGGAGATTTAAGCAATAGTCCAGCAAATTAAAGATCATGATTGAACATTTTGCACGATACAAAATGTTAGCATTGTCCAATGGATCCTGCTTCAGAAGCCTTTCAAAATCTGGAAATTAATCAGTGCAAAGTAAATTAATGTAAAAACTAATGAAAAATCTACTGATATAAAAATATTAAGAATTGCTTTTTAATTTAGAAATATCTTTTCCGTATCAGAGATACTAATTGTACAAACAGCTAGGTCCTCCATAAACCTGTCTCATTTGCACCATACTGTGTATTACATTGGTGTTAGAATAAAAGTACATTGTTTTTTCATTTTTCTTGAAAGAAATTCACAAAAAGGGGAATAACACATTGAGGAAAAACACAGCTATGAAAAATTGTTTTACAAAAATCCTATGGTCCTATGCTCTTAACGGTTTGCAGGGAAATGGCTAACTCTCTACCCTGGCAATACATATATTTTGTTTTGTGGATTTTTTTTTCCTTTCTTCTTTTTACACACAGTAGCTCTTTCTCTGTCATCCAAAAAAATCATACTTACCTTGGCGGACTCTGCATCACACGGTACATAAAGCGTGCACGATACAGAGCACCTACTCAAAGAAACACACTCACCAACACACGTCGTAAGCTTTTGCAAATGTTAAAATGGAAACTTGCGTTGTCTAAGAGAACATTTTTGCCAATTTGTTCTCATTAAGTGTGCTCTTTGTAGCAAGTTGCTGCCTACATTTTGAACTTATGGGCATTTACAAGAAATAAAAGGGTCCCATCAAAGCTGCTACCTTTAACTGACCTACTCTGACCTCAATATGAAAAAAAAATCTATTATTGGCCTTCCCTTTTTTGCTCCAGAATCGTAATTTAAATGACAATTTATGATTAGACTATTTCAAATGTTGAAATAATAATAATAAACAGGGTACAGCCTCTTGTATTTATTTTCAAATTAGTATCTTTCACTTGAGATTTTTTCTTGAAAACTCTGTCAAATATTTTCAGTGAAAGAAAGGCTAGTCCAGCTGTTAAGGGCTTACACACTATTGATAATAATTCACAATACTTAAAGAAATGCAGAGCACAACATTCTGCAATGCTTTACATATTTACTTACAGTCTTCAGAATTCTTATTTCAATGAAAAATTAAAGCCCAAAGTAGATAGCTACAGGAAATCAATAGAAGCAATAAAGACAGCAAATATAACTTGGAAAGGCTGATTTCTTCAGTTATTGTTGGTTATTAAGACAAATAGCTAAAGGGGAGCTGCTCCTGTTCCCCAGTTAGTCCAACACCTTTCTGATGCCATCCATCTCATCCTAATCTGATCTTCCCTCATACACTGATCAGCATATGGACACACACATTCAACTCGCATGCAGATTTGAATGAGTTTAAGAGAGAAAAAAAAATAAAGCCTATTTCTCTCTCTTCTTTTTTTTTTTTTAATTAAGCAAATGCCACACACAAACCTAGAGAAAATACCAGAAAGCACCGATCTTTACTTTTCACTGGAAAAGGTTAACATGCATTAGCTATACAGGAATAAACCCAGTCAATACTTCTGCTTTCTTGCCAAAAACATCTGCAATGATTTAAAAAAATAAACTAACTTCTAAGTCAGAATTCAAGTAAATTAACCAAAAATTAATCACTTTTGTCCTGCTATTACTTGCGTACATGCCAGAAATACTTGCTTTATTTACGTCCGTATTTAATTCTAAGTCTGTAAGTTGCTACAGTGCTGCTACAACAAGTGAGAAATACCCCATATTATTAAGCTTAATGATACAATATTGTCAGATAATTCTACTGGATTTTTTTTTTTATAGAAACAGTCACACTGTTAAAAGTCAGAATGCAACTTGATTACAATAATTAGTTAACAGTGGATTGTCATGTATTTCTAAAAATAATGTCTATAATTTGATAAGCATTTTAATGTTTTGTATAATTTAAGAATTCCCTCTAAAAACTGAAGTAAAGACTTTTCTCATTCAAACTTGAGGAATTTTTTTCACTCAACATAAGCCAAGTTAAAATAAAAATAGCCATACATACCTTAGGTTTTAAGAAGTACCCTTTAAAATATCGATACTGAACTGGAACTCCTCTAGGAAGCTTCACAGTTGTTTTCCATACACTGTGGAAAAACAGTTGTATAATCCAAAGTTCTAAAAACACTTTTAGACTCACAACTCTGCTGTCATCAAAAAAACCCCACTGATTTTAATAGAGACACATTTTTTTGAGTAGAATTTCCTCATCTAAATACTTCTGTCAGTTACATACATTTTGCAGCTTTTAAGCCTCTACAACAATCTGTTCTAGAAAGAGGCTGAAAAATAGCAGGCAAATATGCTGGAATATGATTGCTGTTGATGACTCCCTACTGCAGGGGACAGGGGCACAGATCTGCCCCACAATCTCTTGACCAGAGAGGTTTGGTGTCTGCCAGGCATTCAAATATCAGCTGGATGAGCCTTGGCAGTCTCTCCACAACAAATTTCAGACTATTCCCCTCTGCTGTTTTTCCATGTAGGCATTAATGATACTAGGAAACTGGAATCATAAAACAGGATTTTAGAGTTTTGGGGATGGTGGTTAATGGTCTGGGAGCCCAGGTCATTTTCTCCTCATTGCTGCCAGTGAGGGGGAAGGATGGAAGCAGGAGGGAGATTTTCCAGGTTAATGACCGGCTGAGCTGCTGGTGTTGGCAGCAGCTTTTCAGTTCCTACGACGGTGGGATCCTGTCTGACGACTGACAGCTGAGGGGGAGAGATGAGCACGAAGCAGGGCATATGTGTCTACCAGCAAGTAGGACAGCATGGTAAAGAAGGCTTTAAATTAGGCAAGATAGAGGAAGGGAAGAGTTACAGAAAGAGGGCAGTCAGCATCACGCAGCTCAAGTTGGGGGTGTCTCCTGTGGGCGCAGGACATGACTATGGAGGATCTCCTTGCAGCCCTACTGGGAAACTTGCAGGCTCCATTACCTCCCTGAAATACCTGTACACCGATGCACGCAACACGGGAATAAACAGGAGGGACTGCAGATCTGTGTGTGGTCACAGGGTCACACTGTCATTGCAATTCCAGAGACATGGGCCGCATGACTGGAATACCATCATGGATGGCTGTGTGCTCTTTAGGAAAGACGGGCCAGGAAGGCAAGGTGGAGGGGTTGCTCTTTACATCAGAGAGCAACAGGAATGCACAGAGCTCTGCCTAGGAGTGAACGAAGAGCAAGTGAAGAGCTTGTGGGTAAGGACTAAAGTGCTGGATTCCTCCATGTTCCTCCAAGCTCAAGATTAGCGCAAGAAGTCAGGCAGAGAGGGCAGGAAACTTGTGTGGATGAGCAAGGGGTTCCTGGCAAAACTCAAACAGAAGAAGGAAGTGCACAGAATGTGCTAAAGAGGGACAGGTCACTTGGAGCAATATAGGAGTGTTGTCAGGGCAGGCAGGAATGGGACAAGGAATGCTAAGGTGCATTTGGAATTAGATCTGGCAAGGGATGTCCAGGACAACAAGACAAGTTTCTGCAAATACATCAGTAGCAGAAGGAAGACTAGGGAAAATACGGATCTGCTGCTGAATGGGGCAGGGCTCTGGTGATGAAGGATACAGAGAAGGCCAAGTTACTGAATGCCACCTTTGCCTCATTATTTATTTGTGCAGGCAGCCCTCTGGAATCCCAGACCACGGTGACAAGAAAGGAAGGCTAGAGAAAGGAAAACTTGCCCCTTGTTGAAGAGGATCTGGTTAGGGCTCATTTAGGCAAACAAGACACCTACAAAGCCATGGGCCTCGATGGGATGTACCCAAGACTGCTCTGGGATGTAACATGTTATCGCTAGGCCACTCTCCCTCATCCTTTAGAGGTTATGGAGAACAGGAGAGGTACCTGGGGACTGGAAGGAAGCCAATGCCACACCACTCTTCAAAGAGGACAAGTAAGACAATCTAGGAAACTGCAGGCCGGTCAGTCTCACCTCAATCCTGGAAAGGCGATGGAACAACACTGCTTGGATGGCATCTGTAAGCATGTGGGGGGCAAGAAGGTGGTCGGGACAGTCAAGCACAGATTCACCAAAGGGAAATCATGCTGACCCAAGCTGATCACCTTCTACAACTGAATGACTGGCTGGGTAGATAAGTGGATACTGTCTACCTTGACTTCAGCAAACCTTTCAAAACTGTCTCCCCTATCATAGGCAAGCTCAGGAAGTGTGGTTAGGTGAGCGGACAGTGGGATGGACTAAGAACTGGCTGAATGGCAGAGCTCAGAGGGTTGTGCTCAGTGGCACGGAGTCTGCCTGGAGGCGTGTAGCTTGCAGTGTCCCCCAGGGTCAGCACTGGGTCCAGTCTTGTTCAGCTTCATCAATGATCATCCTCAGCCAGCTGGCTGATGATACAGAACTGTCAAGAGCAGCTGAGCGCTGTGCTATCACTCAGAGGGAGCTGGACAGGCTGGGGAAGTAAGTGGAGGGGAACCTCATGAGGTTCACAGACAAGTCCAGGGTCCTCTCTCAGGTAGGAATAACCCCAGGCACCAGGACAGTGGGGTGACCTGCTGGAAAGCAGCGCTGAGGAGGAAGACCAGGGTGTCCTGGTGGACAACAAGCTGACCATGAGCCAGGAATATACCCTTGTGGCCAAAAAGGCCCATAGGATTGTGGGGTGCATTACAGAATCACAGAGAATCACAGAATGGTTAAGACGGGAGATCAGGAGAGATCTAGGAGGAATGTTGCCAGCAGGTGGAGCTGGACGATCCTTCCTCCTCTGCTCAGCCCTGGTGAGGCCACATCTGGTGTCCTGCGTACTTTCTGTATGTTTGACTTATCCATAACTCTTCTTTCCATAGCAGCTTCTTATTCAAAGTATACTACTGAATATGCCGCCCACAATGGTCAAAGCATCATTCATAATTAGAAAAGCACCTGAAGTTACATGTTTTATTGGACACCTCCTAAGCTTGCATTCAAATTCAAGGGTAAGAAATGAAATTCTACAGAGTTCTACTAACAGAAAGTGAGGTTTAACAGTTATAAACTCAAAGAATAGATTTTTCCAGAACTGTAGCTACTTAAAACAAAACAAAATAAACACAAAACCCCCACCACACAAGACTTACCCATCAACATTTTGGAGGATTACTGCAACCTGTGGATTCCAATTTCCCAAAACATTGCAGTTCCCACATATTGCAAAAACTTCTCCTAAAAAAGAAAAAGAAGAAAAATTAGTATTCAAGCCTCCATGGAATTAATAAGTATAGTCTAAATATTCAGAGCCACGCACCCAGGCCAACGCTTTTGGCCTCAGAAAGAAAATATTCCCCACCCTTCATTTTGGATAATACATGTTCGGGGGGGAAAAAATAGGGGAGGGGAGAAGAGGGATTGTACCCTCTTGTAAGATCATTAAAATTATCAGGATACTTGGCCTACTTGCAGGTCAAGTAGGATCATCATCCTACTCGGTCTGTCAGCAGCAAAAGCAAGGATCAAATTTGTGGCTGAAAAGTCCCAGAGAAATAACCATTAATAAAAGCCAGGGTCTCCAATAATAATTTCACGTTCTCCAATTGTTAATGTAATGGTGCTGCAATAGTCAATGTAATGGTGCTGCAATAATAAAGACATAAAAGAGGTGAACAATCTATACAAATGCATCTTTTAGTAAGCCACATGAAACTTCAAATTTGAAAGAAATAGTCCTGAGGAAATGTTTATGCTTCTAAAACTGTGTCTGCTTTTTCCAGCTCTACAGGTTAATCTAATAAAAGGATGACATCAGGTTTTGCTATGAGGAAAAAAAGAAAAAAAGCAATCCCAAGAGACATACAGAAATGTAACACCGAAGAAAACATTAAGATTATTTGATCCTAAAAGCAGTTTACTGTCTTAGCTAACCAAGAACATCTTGTACTACAATCTGCTTCTGCAAAATCATTTGCTTCATTTGAAAATAAAGCTTTTGGATACTCACTGTAAGCATACAAATGCAGACAAAACTTAGTTGTACAAATATACTTACTATGCAATTCATTTTATATAATAGTCCAGATCAGGTCATTTACTTTTTCCAGTTTATACTGTAGCTCATTTTCATTTTTGTTTGTTTGTTCTTCAGCGGGAAAGGAAGATGGATGAACAACTGCTTGAATACTATAGACTTAGAAATTCTGACTAAAGATATATAATAGAAGCTAAAATTCTATTAATACTCATTCAAAATAGTGACTAAAGTACATCTAAAGATACTGCAAAAGAATGAGGGCTGCCTTATTCAATAGCCAGTTAAAAGCAAATGCAGGTCTGTCATAGACAGCTTTATCATAGGAGGGAAGGGTAAGGTCTCTATCCTCACCCATTTCTGAAGTGTAATCCAAATCATACCCCTCTTAGTTATATTTGGCTGTAACAGTTTTCCTTTTCTTTCTCAAAATGTGTGAATATTCAGTGCCACAGTGAAGATCTAAAGGAGTCAGAGCCACAGTCACAGCTTGCAATCCTCTTTTTGCTAAGATGAGGCAAAAACGAAGCACTCCATCTCACTAGCATATAAAAGCTAGATGCATGGTTTCATAATTGAGGTAATTTTGTAATTGCTGTTCACTCCAGAAGTGATTTGGCCAGAAGGAGCAAGCCCAAGCATCATTTCCGTGCTGAGGACGCTCATTTGCCCTGCCAGCTGGAACCGCTGTCTGTGTCCTCAATCTGAAAGGTCCACGCTGAGGAAACTGAGCGCACTCAGCGCTCCAGGAAAGTTTTCTCACCTCACATACACCAGTTGCTCCCCACAGTGAATTTGACAAAAAAAGAACACACGATATTTCCAAATACATCAGAAATATCAATGCTATGATCAGCAGAAAAAAAATCCTGTCATCTCCTTATGTCACTCATATCACAGAAGTAATTGCCAAGTAATTCTTCACAACTAGTCACCAAAATCGGAACTATTTTCCCTATTTGCAGATATCATCAATAAAAAAAAGCTGCTCCTCTAAAGTCAACTTTGCTGATGACAGAGGAAATACTGCAAATGAGGCGAGGAAAGTGTGGCTTGCAAAACTGCAAGAGGATAACTGCAGTAGCCACATGCTTTATAGACCCAGTTCATCCAAGGTCTATTTATTCTTTAATTGTAAAGCTTTCTCCAGAAGGTTATAATCTTTACTAAGGAGCAGTGTTTAGCGCTTCACTAAACAGAAATTTAACACTGGACAGACATCTAAGCTTTCCATTTTTCCATTTTTTTTCCATTTTATTTACCTACAATGGTCACTTCTGCAGACAAGCATTTGTCTGTAGCAGGAACTTTGCCAACCTGCTATAATCCCGCATTCAGCTGCTTCTGTTTGGTAGCTGCCAATTAATTTTGGCAAACTTCCTTTCAATTTCCTAAAGGTGAAGGTCAAAGTAATAAGCACAATTAAAAATCAATAAATCTGGTCTCTCAAGCACTTGAAACCTTACGCAAGGTTTACTTTTCCGTTAGCAACATGTCAACAGCCAGGGCTGTCTCAAGACTTCCCTTTGGCTGTTAATAAAATCTGAGATCTGAATTGCAATTGTAGTGTTCTGCATGATCTGACACCTTCATTTCTTCTTCAGATTAAAAATTTATTTTACAAATTTGTCACATTACTTGAATAACTAAAATTTTTATCTTTTCTGATAGTAAATACTACATCTATCTTATTCCAGGAACAGATCTGATAAAGTAATATCCTCTGTGCATATATGCTGCTATTCACTTTTAAATCCATTTGCTGCTAAAAAATCAAAATCTCAATGCTACCAGCTAATGCAAATAGATAAATTAGATGAAGAAGATACACGTGGGGTATGTCGAATAGAGAAACCTTCAGTATGTTCAGAGACCATAAGATAGCAGAAAACTCATGTAAAAAAAATCTAACTAAATAAAAATAGGTATATATTAAACTGGGGAAGGGGGAAATAGAAGACAAAACAGGCTTGCTTACTAAGCTGCCTTACATCACAAGCCAGTCATGTCTGAATTTGGAAACAAGAGAAAAATACTTTCCCTAAGCCGTTTTGTAAATGACTACTTCTAAACTATCTGCCATCTACTACATATTTTGCCAATGCAGAAATAAATCATCCATGCAAATGGTTTTGCCATTGAATTGCCACTTTCATCTCATACTTATTATTATCCCCAACCTAAGGTATTGGACTCTACCAATAGAAATTAGAGTGTAAAAATTTCTTTCAGAGCAAGGAATAAAACACTTCGACGTTTCATTAATGTAGTGATGTTGCAAATATCTTGTTCAAGTTTTCTATACAACGATAGGATTAACTGTCTATACTTGGATTCATCATATAAGGTTTCTAATATTAGTTTCTAATATCAGCTATCAACATCTTTGATCAGTAGTAGGAGCAATGTAAAGAAGTACAGAATGACAAATATGAAATCTGTAATACCTTTGTGGGAAAAAAAAAGAAAANAAAAAAAAAAAAAAAAGGAAAAAAAAAAAGGAAAATAGAAAAGTGCATTCCAGGATTTTTTCCCCCTAAATGCTATCTTCTGCGACGTTCAAATTTAAGCAACTAGTCACAAAAAGCAAGACTGGCCCTAGACCAAGAAGATGCCAGACTATTCCAGTGATCTTATAGAGAAAGACAGAAGAGAAACACAGAGCAGAGCATCTTGTAGAGCTCAGAAAACAATTTTTTTCTTAAATCAAAAGCCCATTTCCAAAGCTGTCCCAGCTTAGAAAAAGGATCACTGCACATTCTAACTCTAAACCACAGATTCTGAAACATCAGTCATGCTGAAAGCTTATTTATCTCACTGTAACATAAAGCAAATAAGAATATAATGTTAATAACTGAAGAACTCCATATAGAACACTAAGTATTTTAATTCCTCTGCCTAATTCAATGGCGTGTCATGATTTAATCTAGTTATAATTCCTTATTTCCAAAGAGGGGGGATTAAGAAAATAGAAAGGACTTCAGTAGAAAACTAACACTGGTTTATTTTAGTTCTGAAAGGGTCTGAAAATATTTATAAAGTTGCACAGGTTTCCAGCGAGATGACAAACTCAGAGCTTAAAGAGATTTTACATAGTTAATGTAAATAAAACACCACACTTTATCCTTTTCCAAAAGTCAGAGAATTTCACCTAAAATATAGTAAAGTTATTATCTGTAGCTATTCCTTGTACTAAAGGACTTAAACTTTGCAGGACTTTTTATCAAAAAAGTCACTGAGACTTACAGCTTAATAATTTATTTTTAATATCCATTTATGTAAGTGAAAAATCCTGCTACTACATTAGGCAGAAGTAAAATACGATAGTCAAAATTTCATGCTTCAGGATGTGGCATAACCAATATATGATAAAATTTGAAAAGAAATCCAAATTATGAGCAGACAACTAACAGGAGCTTCTGAAATACATTAGATATAATATTGATTTTGTATCCTTTCTTTCCCTAACTCACTGTAAAGATCGTATTTCTCCTTGGTCAGAGAATTTTCAACTGGAATGCAGAGAGAATTAAAACAAACACATCAATACATACCCAACTATCTAGCATATTCTTTCTCATTAGGTAGATTTTATTAGACATCAAATAATTTTAAAACAATCATAATTATTTCATAGCTACAATCAAAATCTGTAACTTGTGAAATTGGCGTTTGAAAATACAGTGGCGTCCAGAATTCATTCTCTGATCTTGATTTTCAAATTTCCACATGCAGGTTCTTAATTAATGCATTTTACAATGACCTGTCAGTTCAAGTATCAAAATGAATGTTCCTTTCCCCTTAATAAAATAGCAAAGACAGTCTTTAAACATTCTCCTGTTCAGTCTTGTTCTAGTTCTACTATACAAACCTGTCACAGATGGTCCTCTTACTTCAAAAGTGACTTGAGAAGGGGTCATATTTGCAGAATTTTTGTCTTAGCAAAGCTGAAGTCTCCTATAGTGGAGGAAAAAGATATTTCAGAAATAACACACTACATCTGATACTGTCCTAAATGAGAGAAAAATTAACTTCAACCACTCACAGGGAAGGACACAACTAGCGCTGTTACTGTTCACGCAAGCGGTACAACAGAAAGCTATTTAATTCCAGCAGCTGCCCCAGAAAACAGCATCCAGCTGCAGAGGACTCTGTCACAACACTAGCACAAGAAAAGACTACTAAATTACATAGTACATTCAAGTATAATATGCAGCATTCATCAGTCATAAGCTGAGATTTTTCAAAAGCTCTCTGTTTTGACTTTGCTCCCAAGGAAGCCACTGGAAGTGTTCTTGTAAAGCAAAAGATTATCAAACATGATATAAGATTACGAGCTTTGGCAAGCAATAATTTCTAACTGTTTCCCCATGCTAGTCTTAGGCCTTATCTTCAATACAATAATGCTGCAGACAAGCTGTGCTATCTTAAAGACACAGAAGAGAGTTCCAGCATTGAAAGAAAAAGAGCAAGAACCTATGGAGGATGTGTCAGATGATTTATACATCACTTTCAACTCTGCTTTCCTACCCAGGCTTCCACCCTTTCAAAAACGACCACAGCAGGACTAACTATATCCCCTGCTGTTGCACACAGAGAAGAGTTGTTGGACTGGACTGTCCTCACCTCAGTTTTATACCCTCCTGCAAAACACTACAACCTGATTTTAAAAAGCTAGCAGGATCCCACTCTCCACATCTCAGCAGAAACACTACTAATGTAAAATATAATTATGTATATTACTTACGAAAGTAGTAGTGGTAGTCATAGCAGAGTTGAAAGACATCATAACAGACCTGATGCTTCGAGACTAATGAGCATCACGCAAGTACATTCATTTAGACTTGAACAATTTTTACTTATTATATGCAGAATTAACTTTGTAAAGCTCTTGATCCTTTTTTTCCCCCTCATACTAGTGAGGTTTTAAACCAAGAAGGTAGCTTTTTTATTACTATTATTCAGGATAGCACAAAAATATTGTTTACTTCAGTACAATGTTAATCAGCAATTCTTTGGAGGAAATGCTGATAATAATGAAATGAAGAATGGATGGCGGTAGGAAGCAATCTGCTCTGCTCTAGATATATCTACCCACCTACTACAAGCTTTTGTCTTCCAAAATTGCTACCAAAGAGGCCAATAAAAATCAAACAGGAGAAAGGGAATGGAGAAGGATAAGGAAGAACATCGAAATAAGCTGATAATCCTCATTCATTCTGAACAATCAGAAAGAAAGCTAAGATCTGAAGTTTGAACAACTACAATTTTTTCATCCTTTTCCTCTTCCCTTCTTCCTTGTCTCTGAAACTTGTTTTCTAATAATTGTTCTCTTTACATTTCTTTTCCTCTCATTTTTCTCCCTCTCCCTCCAAGTGGAATGACTCTTCGGGGGGAAAAGGGGATCAACAAAAGGTAGCAATGTAGATATTTCTAGTCATTATCCTCATTGCATACACAATAATATTGTTGTAAATAATAAAAATCCCGAAGTACTGGAAATAAGTACACTTTATAAACTTTCTAAGGGAATACACTCCCTCTGTGAGCTTTGCCATATTTCTGTGCTACTGTGGTTGTGTGTGTGTTAACAGCGACACGTTCTGCTACTTATTTTTGACAGCTATTTACAGGTACAGAAGCTTAAAACATGGCTTTTTTTTCAGTCCTGAAAATAAAATCTGTCTTTCATGTCACTATGACATGAAAATCTCAGTTAAAAGCACAGAATCTAAACCATTAATATACATCTGTGACAACACATAAGAGTTCAGGGTCCTGACTGTGTTAGCTGACAGTCCACTTTAAAGACAGCTTTTGAGCTAAACAGGGCCAAAGGGAAGAAGAAGGCAAGTGACTTGCCAAAATCAATGGAGCAAGTAAACAATAGCAGGTAAACAATAGCTGAAGCCTAAATGCAGTTCCCCGAATCAAGATGTGGCTCTTGCCATGCAAGAGCTACTTCCAGTGCTGATGCTAAGTGAGTCTCAAAAATAAACTTGGTGAAAAATAGCATGTCTATCTTACCATAATATAATTAACTACCAGTTCATTTCCCCCCAAAAAATCCGAAACTCTGGTCTGAAATCTTTAAAGCTCATTCTTTAAAGCTTGAAAAAAAAAAAAACTGTGCACCTCCTTTTAAGACATTTGTGGGCTTCTCTTAAATGACTGACAAAGGAGTATTACATTTTCCATGTAACAGTATTTAATTGTTAGGATATGTTAACAAACTCCCTTTGCAAGTTCTCAATATTCTGCTTAAAAGCATCCTTTACCTCCAAGACCTCTCTGCCTTCCCAGAACATATGTACCAAAACAAGAAAAACTGCAGATTAGACAGCTTAACTCAGGCATGGTTTTAATAGAACTGCAGCTACAGATCCTGTTCTTAAATAAGCTTCATGCCAACACAAGCATTCACATTCAGCTCCAAAATACTACCCTTTGCTTTAAAGAAACTTCTCTTCTAGGAGAGCAACATACATAAACAAACATAGAGCACAACAGAAACAATACACAAATACACAGCAAGTACATTTTAGTGCAAGTTTGCTTTTTGTTAATAAATCAAAACTGTACCGTGTATTATCATGCACATGTAAAACATTCTGTACTTTCTCAATGATCCAAAAATGCTTTAGGAAAAAATGCAGAACTTTAACTATCGAGTTACTGATGGAGTCCTGGGGAAAGGGGATATTTTAATTCCCAGAAGGAGCTGGCAGGAAAACCTAGACTAAATCTGTAAGTCCTCTGACCAGTAGGTGTCAGACAATCTTTAAAACTCTATTTTTTCAGATCAGCAATACTGCTTACCGAAGGAGGTGACAAAGAACAAAGTCCTCCACTCCTCACACCTGTAAAGATGGACTGTTCCAAAGAACATAAAGGATCCTCAGCTCAGAGAAGTCATAGTTCTATATTCAGGGGAGCTAGAACAAGTTAGAATATTTATTTTAGAAATAGTAAGTGTTTCCTGGTCAGCAAGTATTAGCAAATTCAACTGAGTAGATTTACTAACTAGAAGCCCTTACATTGTTTTAAAACAGCTTTCAGGTTCAAAATATGAAAACTGAATTCACATCCTTTGTAACTACATGTGTCCAAACATAAGCCTGGAGTGCAAACAACTGCCCCTTCTCTATATGTTCTACTTCCTTCCATCGATCAGTTTTTATGTAGTACAGCTCATTTCTTATGAAAGCTGGCAAAAAGCACTTTAAATTTCAGTCATTTCTCCACAGGAGAGCTCTTACCCAGGTAGATGTTCACACCATGGTATCAACTCTTAACTAAAAAAAGTGCTTCTCCACCTAGATTGCTTCTACAGCAAAACAGGACCCTTTCCTCAGTGCCACAGTTCAACCCTCTCGCATTTGCAAAGCAGCTCCTCACCTTTAACAGCTTCTGGAGGCGTCCCAAGGAGGTGCTGGCAGCACAGCAGGAGCGCTTAGAATGGGAACTGGAGGCTGTCCTGACCTGCCTTTAAAAGCTTGGTCCAGAAAACCCTGCCCATCAATCAGCCTGCACTGGACAGCATGGGCTGTTGAGCGAGGCTTTCAGAGTGGGGAAATCACACTGCATAGTGTGAAGGGTTGCATGCAGTTCTGGTTCTCTAGACACAAGACAAGGCCTCCTTGTGGCTTTAGATGGGAGGAAAAATAACCAGGAATCTTGCAATTTCAGAAATCGACTTGCTTGCCTTTGTACATCCTATCCTGTAAACCTTTCCTTTCCCAATTTGCTCCTGCCATGGACATCCTAAGGAGTATAAAGGTGGCGTGAGGTAATGTACTCCCCTAAAAAAGCAGGTACCCCAGCTCTCACCTCCTGATTCTAGAAAGGCATTTCTAGAAGATGCAAGCAGACAACTGTGGGGCATTAAAGGCACTTGGAAGAAAAGAAGGAAAAAAGACACTTAGTGGTGTTTCCGTCTTAACACATCCAACGATAAACGTATGATAAAGTTTTTCTCCACAGTTTTTCTCTACAAACGGGAGAAAAAAAAAGTTAGGATCATGGATGGCGAAGATCATGGAAACTTGTGTATCTATCTACATTTTCACTATTTTTATTTCTCTAAACTTTTCAATAAACTTAGACCTACATGCTTTACCAATCCTGGAATTCAATAACCTAGCTTTCAGAATACTGAACAGATTTTAGACTCACGGAAATTCACAGCATTCAAAAAGCCAAGTGACGTGCTGACACTCAATGCAAGTGACATTATTAACACCAACTTAGACAGGTTTGCAACGCTCTGATTTCTAATGCTCTAAGGACAAAGCCTGAGACAGGCCTCAAGTACAATGTGACAGTCACTTCCACTGCAGACACTTAGAAGCCTTAAATATTACAGGTCTTCAAGTTTCAGGCGGGAATCACTTCTAAAAGTTAATCTGCTCTCAGGCACTTTGCACTCTTTACAGAAAATTTACTAGCAAAAGGCAACTAAACTAAAATCTGAATGAAAATTTGACATCATTAACTGTGATTTGAGCAAAAGGGCTGCAGAATGGGTGGATTTGTTTACCAATGCAAAGAAAATAAGGCATTCATATCTACTGAGGAAAGCAAGGGAAGACAAAGAAATTCCCTTGTGGAAAGTTTACAGTAGTTACAAACAAGTTCCCTAGTTAACAAACTAGGGAATTAGTTTGTAGTTACTGTAAAACTGTAGTTACTGTAAAATTCCCACTGGGAAGTAGGAAGATTTCAACTGATAGAGATCAGAATTCAAAACAAAAAAAATCACTTTAGAGAAAGAATAAAATATTATTCCTCCAATACACACTGGGTTCATAGTTTTGTATGTCCTATTATATCCGGGATACCTTAATGTGAACTAAGCTTAATTTACATCTCTGGGAGTTCAGAGATCCAGATCATATGAAATTCTGACCTTTTGCATGGATTTTATCTGTTGAGAATAACAAGTATGTGGCACCATGCTGACGAGAAAGCGAGAAGAAGCAGACTTGCACTGAAATGCTCCATCTCTTAAAACAAACAAGAAGCTGATAAATTATTAGTAGAAATTTCTGATGTAAAACCAACAACCTAAAACTTCCTTGGATAACATTCTGTTTAGGGATGATTTGACAACATGGAACACACGCTTTACAGTGCTTGCCAAAGGATAATTTAAATGGGTCAGGATTTTTTCAGAGAAATTCAGGTACTTAAGAGTTTTCCAGAGATACTTAAAAAGCACCTTTTCAAAAGTGCTTATATAAACAACTCCATTAAAATTAAGAGTTAGATATCTAGGTGCTGTAATTTTCCCATTGTGCATTTCAGTATCTTCAGACATCTGGTCCCTAATATAGAAATATTTCTAGCCACTGTACCACTAAATTTGCCTAGCTGTCACAGAAAAATAACAGATGATCTTTGCACAGGCACTTCCATACTGTTAGCACACATTTCATCAGCAACCACGGTGCAGATTACTGGTATTGCAAGAAGTAAACATATGCTCAGTTATTTCCAAATATCACAACAATTTTCATATATAAAGGTCAAAAGGGCAGGAACTAGGACACTGCAGTGTTTTTACTTGGAGATTCCTTATTTTGAGCAGACATTTTCCACCTTAAAGGTACAGACACATGAGACTTACCAAGGAGAGGTCTGATCCCTGTCTGAAGCAGGGGACAGCACGGCAGTTGCAGCCAAGTTATGTGACACGAGAGTGCCCAGCAGCTGATCAGGGGCCCTGTGGCTTCCTGTCACTTCCCTTGGGAAGCAAACATGCATTGCGGGAGAAAGCACCCTACTTACATTTTGCCTTCTTAGAAGCTGTTCTATACACACCAATAGCACTTGGTGCCATGCAGAACAAAGCAAAGATACAAGCCTAACTACAGGAGAATACTGCTTTAAGACAGGTTTTGTCATCTTGCTCACAAAATTAGAATCTCAAGCTTGAAATATCAAGTTACGCTACTGCAGAATTCACCTTTAGCATTTAAGTGGTATCTATTCAAATCTGATTAAATGTAAATGCAGAATACTTTCTGCTGCTGTTGATGCTTGCAACAAGCTCCCAGAGTATCATGTACATCTGAAGTGGCAAAATAGATACTTAATAAAAATAAGTAACAACGGTTGAGAGAACTTGGATTTTAGAAGGTCAGAGGATATGCTTTGGAGGACATTCAACTGTAGGAGAATTTTTAGAAACAGCATTACAGGTCTGACTTTTTCTTTTTCACCTGAAAAACTGGAAGGTGCTCCCCCTCCTTCCCCCTTCTGGACTGCACTAGAAAGCACGATCACAAATCCTCTCTTATACTGCATTGCAGCATTAACACTGGACCGAAAACAAACTTGCATACCGTATCTGGACATGCTCCTCTGATCCAAAGGCAGGAATGGTTGTTGACAATTAAGAAAAAGCAACACCAGAGCACTGTTTCTGAAACATTAGGACATTGTAATGTAGGAAAAAAAAATCTTTAAGAATGTATCATCAGTATGATCCTTAGCTACCTCTTTGCAAGACCAACGCAGCCCCTGCAACCAAATGCAATATCCATATCCACTACGCTGAGTAACCTGTAATGCATCTGCTTTGTTTTAAATGGTGACAATTAAATGTTACTTTAAGAAGTTCTTAAAGCCACGTACAAGCAGTGGGCTCCTTTGCCATAGCTATTTCACAACAGCCCTGGAGACAAAGTTCTTGCAAAAGTCAGGCTGGGACATATTTCCCTGCACACCAAAACAGCCTTTTGGTTTTGTTTTCTTTCTTTGATGAAATTCTCTTCACTATTAGTACACGCCTGAGAAGGCATTAACCAAGCAGTAATTTAGCTCTCTGTGATCATTCTAACCATAGCTTCTCATCTTGAAATGACATGGGCAAATAAAGTGCATAATGTCCCCCACAGACCTCAGCTCACAAAACAACAACTTTTTAAAGATTTTCTCAAAGCTTGCAACCATTTTATTGTTCAACTCACAGAGATCTTTACCGAAAGACTAATTATGGGCTAATTTACTTGAGTAGCGCCTATTCAAGACAGATGTTGTTTCTTTTGGGGGGATTTCGGGTACTTCCTATAGATGTTAGCAACAGGAGTAGAGGAGAAAATAATCTATGGAGGGGAAAAAGATCTCATATGATGTAATTTCGCTCACCAGCTATTTCAATCTAACGTTTGGTCTTGAAATATTCTGAGGGCTGATCTCCACCTAACAGTGCCACAAAGCACTGAAACACGTAACGGCCCGCAAGACAAGCACCTGACGGACTAGAAAACACGAAAAAAAAACAAGAAAAGGAATCTCCGCCTCCGGCAGCGGTCGGGTCAGGAAGCGGATAACGCCGCCGCCCCCGGCTCGCCGCCCTCCGCCGCGCCCCCGGCGGCCCGCACTGACCTGCGGGAGCGCCGCTCCCGGCCCGCTTTGTTCCGAGGGCGGTATCGACCGCTGCCGCCGGGCCCCGCCGCCCGAGCCGCTCAACGGCCGCCTCAGAGCGCGGCAGGGGAGGGGGCGGCGCGCCCGCCAACCGGTTCCAACCGCCCCCGGCCGAACCGGGGCGGAGGCGGGGCGTGCCGGGGGAAGGGAGGGGCCGCGTGACGTCGCCTCTCCGCGGCCCCGCCTCCTTCGCAGCCTCGGCCAATAGGAGATCACGAAGGGCGGGGGGGCGGCACCAGTTCTTCGAAAGCCTCGTTGGGGCGGGGCTTGGAGGGGCGGGGCCGTCGAGGGGCTGAGGCGACGGTAAGGGGCGCTGAGGGGGCGCGGGCGCCCGTGGCCTGAGGCGGGCGGGTACGGGACAGCGGCACAGACCCCTCCCCCGGTCTCCCGAGGACAAAGCGCCACCTCCCGGTACCGGCCCCCGCCGCGCCCCCGGCGGCCTCGCTCCGCCCCGCGGGCGGCTCGCACTGACCTGGGGCAGCGCCGCGGCCGGGCCGCGTTGTGCGCGAGGGCGCCGCGGGCGCTTCCGCCCGCCGGACCCGCTCCTCCCGCCGCCGG